TTCTCGTAGTTACTGCCCATACATTCACAGTGTCCACTGTCCAAATGATATTTGAAGATTTTTATAATCATCTAAATTTTATTTTTGTACACATGACCAAATGAGATTTGGGATTTTAAATTCATTAATAATTTTCTAAATTTTATTTTTGTACACACGAGTCGCATGACCATCAAGTCGAAGACTCCAAATGGGAGGGGGGGGAAAAAAAAAATTCCCATGCATGTTTTCCGTGCACAGAAGTCCAGACTCCCTGTCTCGAATGATTCGTGCCAAGCCCCTCGAGCAAAAAAGCATGATGAGGGCATAATATTCCTAGTTTCCTAAATGAGATAATTGAAAGAAATATGATTTTTATTACAAATGAATAAAAATATTTTATAATTTGGTATCGTAAGCAAAAAAAAAAAAAAAGCCAAATTCAAGATTACAAATTTATTTCCAACTTTAGAATAATGTCTCCAATCTATATGGGGGCTGGCAAGGGGGGTTGGGGGGAGGGGGGGGGGGGCACTCTCTCTTTTAAGGAGGGGGTCTTACCATTGGGGAATTTAAACCCCAATACGTTCTAGAATCCGTATTAACACATACATGCGTGATCATATTCTTGACATGGGCTCAACCCTTCATGGCCCCACCCCCCATGGCCCCACCCCCCATGGCCCCACCCCCATGGGCCATTGTGACCCACAAGCTGTGCTCGTATTGGGATCGGGATTGGGATAGGGATTATGACTTTTCTCCTCCCAGGCTTCCACCCTTCTTGTTTGGAAGCCAACTACAATTTCCCAAATTTCCCAAAGTTTCTGAACTTTTGCAACGCAGATTATGGAGATTTCAATTGCTCCAATCCACAGCGGCATTGCCGAAAGCCGGCAGTAACTGCACAAATACAAATATATATTACCTGCACAACAAACACCCATTTGTAAAGCAAACCAAGTAAGAAAACCCAAAAAAAACAAAACAAAAAAAAAAAGAAAAAGAAAAAGAAAAAGAAAAAGAAAATAAAGGAAAAAAAGCAACAACATCAACTATTGTCGGGTACTTACGCCGGCCAAACATGCGGCAGCACTGAGCTGTCAGGATCCCAATTTAGGCAACAGATACTGACAGTGATATTCTGATTAAGATGATTAAGTACTATTTTAGTATTTTGAATTTTTGAACTATTTTCAGTATTTTTTATTATGACCTCGGCTACCAGAGCGGTCTGGGAC